TTTCTCAGGTGTTCAAATACTTATGTTCAGCAGTGCAAGACAAATAAATTCTTTAAAAATCATACAATGTGATTTCCTGAATTTTTTTTTAATTCTGTCTCTCAGAGTGGGAATGCACCTACAATGTGAATTTCAGACCCCTCCATGATTTCTAAGTGGGAGAACTTGCAAAATCGCAGGGTGTTCAAATACTTCTGTTCCTCACTGTATGAGACAATACACTTTGATGTAAGTACCACCTAATTCCATAGTTCATATTTTGACTGGACCTGTGATTTGGACATGTTTTTCTGTCAAGTGGTGTTTTCAATTCATTTATGGCCTATAGTCATTCTCACCTAATATGACCTCGGGGGCACGGTAATGCCGTGTGGACACAATGGTGCTGTGGTGCTCGTGGTCAAAAGTGGCGCTGCCAAAGTCTACCACACGTACTGCGGTACTCTTAACAGTCCGCTCCTCTCGCTTCTGCAAAATAGAAAACATTTCTAAGAACCTCTGCGCTTAAAGAGCCCATGGCATGCTTTTCCTTAGTTTTTGACTCATCTACAACGTTACAATGGTGAATTATCTTCTTAGATGTGACCTAAAGCTTGAAGTAAGTTTAAAAAAAAACAAAAAACATGTTGCATGTCTGTTAATACCTTGTTTCTATAACTTTAAAGAGAATTGTTGTAAGGCTGGAGAAGTTACCATGTCTGCATTATGCCAGTTAAAATATGGGGTTTCTCAATTACCCACTTTGTTTACAAATCTTTTCATCAGTACATATACCACTGTTTACCCATTTGTGGAGGAGAAATTCAAATTAATGTCACTGCAGCTCATTGTGCTGTCCACTTTCAACAGCCCAGCAGCACGGGGTGTGCACATTTATGAACTCTCCTCTCATTTTTAAGAGGCTCTCTTGATTTTGTCATTCTAAAATAATCACAGAATATTTGGAGTTATGAGGGCTGCAAAGCTAATCTAGAGGCACCCAAGATTAAACTGGAAAATGATGTCTGAAAATTAGCAAAATGAGCATTCCATGGCCACTTAAAGCTGACCTTCCTCCAAACTCTTGTGCAAACTTTGTTGTAGTACTAGGTGTGCAATGGAAAATCTCAGTCTCACTTCATCAGCTTTCTTTTTTTCCCCCCCAAAATACAGCAGCAAGTATTTCATATTTATTCATTAGACCTCAAAGTGTTTATCACTTGTTTCCTTCGAACTCTGCTGCTACTTACCTTCTCTACATTGTATGACATTGTGAACTCTGAGTTGACAAACAGGATGTTCTCAGGCTTTAGGTCTGTATGTGTCAGCTTATTGTCATGGGGAGAACTATGGGGAGAAAAAAAAAAACAAAAACATCTATCTTCCCAGATTCAACACATTATTACAACATATACTTTTGTTTATAGCTTATAAGCTTATTAATCATAATCAATACAAAGGAGAGCATTTACAATAGTCAGAAGAGAAAGAAAAAAAAACAAAAAACAAAACCTAAACAGAATCCATGCAGATACTGACATGTGAAGCAGTACACTAAACAACTTAAAAGACCTGATAAGAACTTATTTGGAATTATTTCCTCCTGACAAGCTTACTAACCAAACAGATATTTCTCATTTGGAGCTATAATAAACAAGAACTGCTTTTAATCCAGCTGCTCCACATGATAAATATAACATTAGTGAATGAGTGTCTTTTGTTGGAAATTATTTATTTTAAGGAAATTAAGTCACAAAGCTTCATTATAAGAACATGAAAGTTCATGTTAGAGGTTATATTTGTTTCACTGATAGCATCCCTAATTATCCTAAACATTCAGGTTTGTTATGTATAAAATCGAATAGAGGACATAAGAAAAACTTACACTTCACAGCAAGACAGATCTGGTAGGCCATGTGCCTGACATGGCCAATTGAATAGGGCAGGTAGTTGTTTTCCTTTAGAAAGTCAAAGGTGCTGAGAGCTAGTAGCTCAAAGGAGATACACATGTGACCATGGTAGTCGAACCAATCATACATCTGCACGCAGAGGCTGCAAGGTAAACAAAGGGTTTGACAGCCATGAAGTGAATAGTTTGTGTGTTTACTGATACAACAGCTAAAGAATAGCATTTCTGGAATTCTGCAATAGAATTTCTTGGTAACTCTCAAACGCTTCCAGGAAAAGGTGAGGCTTTTCCAAACCTACCAATGTGAGCAAAACTATCAGCTGGTGACACTTGCCAATATTGGTGCAGCTCCAAAAGGGAAAATAGTGCAAGTTCAAGCAGTGTTTCTAAAGGATAAAGTTGATTTAGCTGCAGTGCCAAGGGACTTAGTCAAAACTCACAATTTGTTATCAGGGTCCTTCTCATTGATCTTCTCTAGTACATTGATTTCCAAGCGTGCTGCTTCCTTGTACTTCTCCACATTCTTTATAATTTTCAGAGCAACATGGCTTCCTCCCCTGTAAACATAAGAGGTAATAAAACAAAACGTGCATTAATCAATTAGTTTTCATGGGGGGCCAAAGTCACACCAGGCTGAGCTGCAAAAGTACTAATCTGCCTACAGTAAACTGTATCATATGATCAACAAAGGCAGGGGAAAAAAAAGAGGGAAAATCTGATAGCTTTTAATTAAACCTCCAGTAACTGAAAAAAGGAAACACTAGTAAACAACAGTAAAGGCAGGTGTTAAATACTGTTATTACAATCTCTGTAGCTCAGACCTGCTTCTTAAAAAAGTAAAATCAAGCACAATGAGCAAGAATTCCCTACAGAGGGTCTTGGAAATAAGACCTCAGAGGCTGACAGCAGTTGTTTTTCACCTTTAACTGACACACACACCTGCGATGGTCAATGCACTGCATCACCCTCCCAAAGGTTCCTTCCCCCAAAGTGCTGACAATCTCATCTGTAGCACAACACAGAGAGAAAAGGGAGAGAGAGGGGGGGAGCAGGGAAAGAAACAACAGAAGCATTAGACATGTGGACTTAAGCAGGAATACATAATGCAAGAGTGTAGACAGGCGTATCAACACTAGCGCCCATCCCCTTTTCAAACGGCTGCCTATTCAATCTGGCAGGCTTGAAACTGTTTGAGGTCATCTATGATAATCAGTGCAGATAATCAGTTGCGCTGCACTATGATAAGGGGGCAAATGTAAAGTGCTCCCTTCCTTTGATGGACAATTTGAGCCATCAAAAATGAAGGTAGGTCTTTTCAGGATGTGGCTGTCTTTGCCAAAATGGACACAGAATAATGTGTAAAACCGAATAATGGTTAGTATTTCTACTAAACAATGTATGATCCTTAAAATAAAGTGTTCTAATAAATTTACAGTTTATATGTGCATTGGCTGTTCTAGAAAAAGGCTAAATAGGTGCATGTGCATGTTAGACTTAAGATTAAAGAAAATCCCTGAAATCCTCACAGCACAAAAATATCTATCTTAAGTTACAGGGTTATAACTGTAACTGAGTTTTAATCTATAACACAACAGAGACAAACATCTGCAAATGCGATTCTATGTTTAGGAAAGTCAAGTAACCTGTGAAACATGGAAAATGCTCCACAGCATAAAATCCTAGAAGAAAAAGGAGAAGGTACCTAAAGTCCCTCCTAAAATATTCAACATTCTTGCAATCCACCCTGCTATTTCAGCTAGAGCGAAGAGCATTCTAGCAAGGCATCATCATCATCATCAGGCACTCCCATGTCATGTAAATGCTCTATGCTTTAATACTCATATGGAGAAGGGTTACGATAGAGTAGTGGCAGTGAGTACATCTCTCTTGCAGGACGTCCCCACTCCGACAGATCAGGTGCCCTTCCTCGTCGTCCCTCACACTCAGTGCCCGCGTCCGGCTGTCGCTCCGCTGTTTTCACACCCAAACCGCCATCAGCAGGTCACAACATGAACGAAGGGAACAGGGGGTTTTCAGGGACAGGCGCAGCCACGGCATCAGGCGGCACACGTAGACGAGGAGGGAGGAGGAGGATGGTGTTGGTAGTAGTTGATGTAGTTGTGGTTGTAGGTGGGTTTGGTGGTCATGGGGCGATTCACGCATGACACCACGTGAAGGAAATATATAACGATAGGGATATAGTGCAAGGGAACAAGTCAAAGATCACATGTTGTCCTCTGCTTAGCTCCCCCCTCTACCTTTAAAACACAGCTGCTTACAAACAAAGAAGCAACTGGCATATCCATTCATCAACGCAAAAACCAAATAAAACAGTAATATATCTAATTCAAAACTTATCAGGCTGACTTTAGATGAAAATAAAATGAGAGGACCATATGCAATCAAGCAGCAAAAACATAAAATCAACCCAGCATTTAGACTACATCAAAATCAACCCCTTGCTTACTTAAATTTACATTACGGAATACACAGGAGTAGTCAAAAGTCTAGGACATTTTAAATTTAAATCTACATTCAATTTAAATCTGAATTTTGTATGATGTTTGGTAGAACATTTTCACTTTTTCATCCTATCTACGCTCAAGTTTACAAGTGGCCAACCATCTACTACTACAGGCATTAAAACCTTTTGGAATACAACAGACAACATACTAAAATGGAATTAAGTGTGACCCGGGGCCTGTACCATGAAACCAGTTCAACTTTGTCTGGCTAACTCTGACTTCATTGAGTCTAACACTGGCCATCCGGGATAACCGGTACCCCAAAGCTGGTTATCAACTAGTTCTGTTAAGTTTGTGTTTTCCTATCGGCTATGAACACATTCATGTAAAAAAAGCAGAGTTGTCAACTACTAGCGACTTTGCCATAACCATGACTAAAGTACTGAACATAATGAGAAACAACAGTGATACCTGCAGGGAAATTCGTTTATAGCCTGAGCAAAAAGCGACAATACAGCAGGTGATCTGTAAACAATAGGCTATGGTCACATAACTAGAATAGAATAAAAATAAAAAAAACTATAATAAAGGTGCTACTAAATGAGTCTTGTTTGATGATAAAAAATATAAATATATTTTGATCATGTGTTGTAAAAACTGACCAACAGTTTCAGTTACTGGAGCAAAGAGGACAGGACAGTGCAGAGGAATTAAATCTAAAGGTCATATGTTCATTTATAATCATTAGAAATATTTAACACTGTATGGATTATTTTTCTAATTAAAACAAAACAATCACCATCACAGTATCCCCTCATGTTATTCAGAGCTACAGTGATGGAAGACTGTAAAAACAGTCAGGAATCAAATAATGTTTGTATATTTATACAGCAATGATCATCATGTAGGCTGTAGACTCCCTGAGTTTATTAGAAACTTTGCTTTAACCCAGACTGATCCATGAAAGCTTTATATAACACAGCATTTTGGCTGGTCTATGAAAATATCCATTTATTTATCACATTAATGAAAATTCTTTTGTCCCCGTCAGAATCTTGCAGAAATTATCACTCAGTTTTCCAGTGATCTGACTGGTCAGTGGTCAGGCTGCTGACAGGTTTTCTGTCCTGTGAACTTAACCTACTCAGGCATGTTAGCCATATATTATACAGTAAGTTACTGCAGTGACCAGCCTGATTCAAAATGAGCCAGCTTCATGGTACCAAAAAACCCAAGCTGAGCCAGAGCTTAACCGGATAAGCCATTAATATCGCTTCACGGTACAGGCCCCAGGTTTAACTAGCTTTGCAGCTTAGTCAAGAAATCTGGGGTAGGTGTGTATCGGAAAAGCAGCAAGAATTAGTGGCTGATCATGGTAAACTACAAAAAAAAAAAAAAAGAATGTTTGCCTAAAAATGAAAATGTTCTGCCAAAATGAATCAATGAATCAATTTAAGCAAAACCCACTTAAACAAAAATGTAAAAAAAAAAGTAATTAAAAAAGCCTCTGACAAAACAAAAACAAATCATAAAGAATGTACTACTTACCAATTCCAGGGGCTGTGAAGAATAAGTGGTTAGGAAAAGAGACAGAAAGAGCTGAGAGAAAGAGACAGAGATGGAAGTAGAGAGGATGAGGAGAATTAAAACACGTCGGGTCTGGCTGTACTCACCGAGGAGGATGGGCTATAGGACCTGGTTCTACGCCGCCTTCGTTTGTGCTTACGCCTGCTGCCTTTTCGCCCATACGATTCATCCCGCTCACGTTCCCTCTCACGACCACGGCGGTAGTCATACACGTTTGGAGAAAAGTCGCGTGGATAATAACTTTCAGCTGCTCCATGTGGCTCCCTTTCTCTGTCGCGGTCTCGATCTCGGCTCTGATCCAGTCGTCTGTATCCTTCATATCTTCGGTCAAATGGCCGGTGTTCCGTTGAGCGATTGTCATAACTACGACTGAATCAGACAACAGAAGCACACGCTGAAACCTAAAAACTGACAACCAATTAAACCTAAAAAGATCTACAGAATTGGTACAATATTTTCAGCATAACAAAGCAAACAAATCTCACTATACACATAAACATACCTCCTTGAGCGTACATAGCTTCCTTCCTGCCTATGCCCCCGTCCTCTTCTGTCCCTGTCTCTGTCACTGCTGGAGGTGTAAGTAGGTGATCTTCTGTGCCTGTGTCTTCGCCCTCTGTCCCTGTCCCTGTAACGATCTTGGTAACTGCTCCGACTGTCTCTGTCCGAAGAGGAGTATCGTCTAGTATGAGGCATCTAGTGGATTATTCAAAAGGACAAACAAAACAATATTCACTAAATTTAGAAAATAATGAGACAAATAGTCTTTAAAGTTCACTGAATTTTTGCAAAATTCAAGATTACTTGGAACAACTGCATTTTTTTTTATGTTAAGCTTGTTCAGTTTTCTTTCTTGCCAATTATTCACATCAGCAGAACTGGTATCCATTGCCAAACCCCAAGGGACTGGTGGGAGTTACCAGGAGGAGCCATTGTTGGTGACAAAAATAAACAAACACAAAACTAACTGAATAAGCAGTCAAAAGCAGTAATTTTTGGCACCACACATTCAGCGGTAGGTTATATTAAAATGTTGTAACTTCACTAAAAAAATAAAACAGTCCTTGAAAGCTCAAATTGGTCCTTAAAGTCTGATATGGAGAACTGACTGACAATGACAGCTTAGTGAACATGCAGCATTTGGTAAGGTAGGAATGCAGGAGACCTAACCTACGTTTGAATATTAACAGCTACCAACCACAGAAACACACATTTCAACACTACAACTTTACCGTGCATCAAGAGGAAGCATGCAACCACCAAATCTGTGCAAAAAATGTTGCAGCTAGACAATTGTTGAACTGGGCCTGAAAATAAGTAAAAGGGAATAGTGATCAAATGCGGGAACACAAGTTTAAAACTATGTTGAACGATCATATTTAATCAACAGCAACCCACCAGTGGTTAGCGTACCGTTAACGTAAATACAGCGTTGCATCAAACGGCTGGAATGTTAAAACTGTGAAAAACAGACTTGGAATTCACGAGTAATTGTTAACGCTATGCTAGTACCAGCTATCAGCTTGAACTAAACTAGCTAGCTAGCTGACTAGATTCATAGCATAAGAGTATTTGCTAACATTACAAGTTCATAATATAGCGTTACTTTTACCAGCGTAGCTAATGTTTTTTTTTTTCATACCTCGTTAAGACGATGAGTTAGTAACAATATCGTCAACGTTGTTAATTTCACCAAGCACCTGGACAACAAACAGTGTATTTTTCCCGTTTTCAAATTTCAGAATACCAACAACATATATAACTTTTAAACTCGAACCAGCTAGGTTAACTAACCAACGAGCGACGTACTAGCAGTTAGCATGTTCTGCTAGTAACACTAGCTAATGTAAATAATTTGACCGCCATCTTAGCTTAGCTACGTTCATTAGCTAAAGCTACTGTCTGTTATGCTAACCGTTTGGTTGCAGTGTGATTTATTCAACAGCACTAAACGACTGTATAGTTTTTTTTTGTTACCGTTTTAGCTGCGAGGCCTGTGCGTTTGTCCCACAAGAAATCCGTGGTGGCGTTCCAGTTCTATCTTTTTTCTTGCTAGCCCGATATTCAAATCTCTGATGCCACCAGCTATTTTCTATCCATCCAGTACGGCTAGTTCTGCTTCAGTCAGACTAGTGGTGTTAACGCCTCCCTGCACGAAAAATGTAATTCGGCCCTGTATGTAAGTTACACAGATGACCAGTAAGCTCACTACCCTCAATCAGCAACAAGTGTAAATGATGGATTTATAAATCTAAATGTCATATTTTCCCTGATTTAATACAAAATGTGATGGATTATTTTTCTAATTAAAACAAAACAATCACCATCACGGTGTCCACTCATGTTATTCGGAGCTACAGTGATGGAAGACTGTAAAAACAGTCAGGAATCAAATAATATTTGTGTATTTATACAGCAATGATCATCATGTAGGCTGTAGACTCCCTGAGTTTATTAGAAACTTTGCTTTAGCCCAGACTGATCCATGAAAGCTTTATACAACACAGCATTTTGGCTGGTCTATGAAAATATCCATTTATTTATCACATTAATGAAAACTCTTTTGTCCCTGTCAGTAAGCTCACTACCCTCAATCAGCAACAAGTGTAAATGATGGATTTATAAATCTAAATGTCATATTTTCCCTGATTTAATACAAAATGTGATGGATTATTTTTCTAATTAAAACAAAACAATCACCATCACAGTATCCCCTCATGTTATTCAGAGCTACAGTGATGGAAGACTGTAAAAACAGTCAGGAATCAAATAATATTTGTATATTTATACAGCAATGATCATCATGTAGGCTGTAGACTCCCTGAGTTTATTAGAAACTTTGCTTTAACCCAGACTGATCCATGAAAGCTTTATATAACACAGCATTTTGGCTGGTCTATGAAAATATCCATTTATTTATCACATTAATGAAAACTCTTTTGTCCCTGTCAGTAAGCTCACTACCCTCAATCAGCAACAAGTGTAAATGATTGATTTAATACAAAATCTGATATTCATGGTATTTTATTTAACCTAATGTGTGGTCTCGAAGTCAGAAATCTGACTTTGACTTGACTTACTAAATTAAACTTTTGACTTGACTCTCAAAAGTATTTCAACTTTTCTTACTATTTTAATTTACTACCTTACAATGGATCAAAAAAGACTTTCTATTTTTGACCTACCTGACAATTTTGAATTAGTATCCAAAGCTGGATTAAACAAAAATTGTTGTTGGGCACCTATTGACCACCTCTATTCAGTTTCATTATTTCCAAGGATCCAGAAATCAATTAGTAATCTCCATCTGAAATTATCTGAGCAATCAGTTAATTGACTGATATAAAATTCCTTGGTCACAGTGTTTCTTCTAATTGACACAGGAGACCAGAGTTTGATTCCTGGATGTAACCTACCTCCAGTGGTCCTCAGACAAGACCCCATAACGCTTCATCCTGATTTCCTCTGATATGACAGTGACATGAACTAAGAGTCCAGCTCAAACATCACTCTTGATTAATAAGGTCTGCACCAGATATTGGAGAACAAAGACCAACCTCACAGATGGGAAAGAGATGACAATCCGGATTCATGAACTTTTTGCTGGACAATTAATTTTCCATGGCAGTATCTGATAATATTCATTCATTCATTCATTCATTTTCTACCGCTTAGTCCATGAACGGGGTCAGCCAATCCATCGCAGGGCTAACACATAGGCGAACAACCACACACACACGCACGCACACGCACTCCTACGGGCAATTTAGAGACACCAATCAACCTAAACTGCATGTCTTTGGACTGTGGGAGGAAGCCGGAGTACCCGGAGAGAACCCACGCAAGCACGGGGAGAACATGCAAACGGTGCTAACCAGTGCGCCACTGTGCTGCCCATATCTGATAATATAGACTACCTAATGCCTTTGTAATAAATGCATCAAAACTATTCAACTCCATTGTTTGTTAGATTCTCCATGTAACATCCAGACCTGTTGGGTTAATAAAAGTCTTAAATTGCAACATGTCTATTGTGCCTTTGTGGAATATTTTTAATTATTTGAAGGATGTCGACATGTTTCATTATTTTCTATTTGCTGTAGTGCATTATACAAATATAATGGCTAGAGACAGATACTGAGAATTAAACCTCTTGTAAGCACTGATGTGAATAAGCACTGACTGATATATTATTTAGGTTAAAGTCAGGGTGCAGATTCCCTTATCATTTTAACGAATTACACTATTGAAACATCCCAACTCTTAGTGAGCCGAGTAAGAAAATATCAGGGGAGATCAGTGGGATGCTGTGAGCACTATCAGAGACAGAAGTAAGTGAGGAAATGTACACTTTAATTAACTGTTTAGTTAGCTAATATACTTCTGACATAACATTTTGACATTTTATTTTAACCATGTCTTTGCATTTATTTATTTTCTTTGCTGGCGTCCATAGTTTGTGGATTTCATGTTCAACCTAGTTGCCGCTTTGTTTTTAATCTCATTTATGACTTAACAAGTTTAAAATAAAAACATCTAAAAAGAAAATGACAATTACTTTTATTTAACACTAAAATAGATGAATGTGAATATAAACAAACAACAGCTTTTTGGTGGTTTTAGGGGACTGGTCGTTTTCAGCTACTCTAACATGAATCCCGATCCTGTCCAAGTCCACACAACAGCATTGGCTTTTGGCACAGTGGCCTGAATGTTATGTGAATGCATACTTTCAGCTCCGGCAGAGAAAGAGTCAACTGTGGTAACTCTTTGGGCCCAAATTGCACCTGACGGGCAAGTTTCATTTAAATCAGTGGGACTCCTCCTTGCTATTCTCCAGTCAGTTCTTCTTGTCTCTCTCCTCCTTTTTCGACTCCAGATGTTCCATCATATTAATCATGTATTCCAAGCGCATGGAGCCTCGGTAGATCCACTCCTTATGTTGATCTTTCTGAATATGACAACACAAACTACTATGGGACACAGTCTAAATAAATATAACTGTAAAAGGATAAAGAATTAAGTTGGAAAAATACTTGAGACTGAGGTCTAAAGGTACTGACCTGAAAAACAACCTCTATCAGGCTGCAGTCAACAGTCAGCACCTCACACATCTGCTGGGTTCCATTAAGTTCTGCATTAATTTGCTGTCCCTGCCTGTATTGTGTCACAGGTGGGAATGGCCAGACCTTCAAATACTGCCTCATGAACTTCCTGTGAGCGTCGTCTTCAATATCTTCCAAAGGGTCAGTCACTGTCAAAAAACAAAAACAGCATGTCAGTTTACTGACAGTAAAACAGTGGGTATTGTGTTCAACAGTGGTTGAAAAGGTGGAAGAATGTGGGGATGACTGTTGCTGTGTACAGATGAAACACTCTGAAGCCTCAAAAGACAATAACTCAACACAACTTATACTTTTTTTTGCAATGAATTTATGATAAACTAAAGCACTGAAGCAATTACATTATCCACAGTAACTTATAGGCCAAGTTCAATACATTGTGGTTTCATTATTATATTATGTATTTAATACATATTATTGCCTTATATTTTATTTATTTCAGTGATTATATACTGTACAAGTTCCATGCTTGCAGTATTGCTATAGATAATTCAGTGCATTGCATTTAAGGAGCAAAATAGAAAACTGATGCAATAAACCACTCAACAGAAAAATGTTTTTTTTGATTCTCCAGAGGAAACAATATTTGCACTTTTGCAGTAAATAAAAATGCAGCAACAGCTCTGGTGGTGCTGAACTGATCCTCAACACAGCCCCCTTTGTTTCACTGTAGAAGTTGAGAAGCAGCCGATCTGTTTGCTATGCTAAGCATTTAGGTTAGTAAGACTACAGTAAGATCACAATGTCATAGCAGAAGATTTAAATAATTAATGATGCTGCCACTGCAGTGTTAACATGCTTAAATTGCACACATCTCCTTTTTCTATGTGGAGATATATCAATCCTGTTGTTGTTTGATGGTCACAGCAATTTTCTTAAGTCACAGAAAAGGAGCTACATTTTACATTTGTTTGGTCAGTGTGGGACAGCATCTGATTGGATGTTCCAAGCCAGAAGTGTGAGCGTTGCCAGTGCTGTGATGAAGTAAACAAAGCTGATCTGAGAGACTAGCTTTGCCCGGTGCCATCTGGATGTCAGGAGGCAGAGTCCCTGCATCAACCTATCATATTAATTGACATCTGCTGCCTTTACTTCTTACTAGAAATAAAGCCAAGTAAGGGATTTCTGAGCTCAAACCAACAAGTTTTCTAGGTCATAATTTTCGAAAACAGCTCTGACACTTGAAAAAATGTATACAACTTTCTGAAGGAATGACCTCAAGTCTGAAACAAGTTTTTAAAAAAGCTCTCTACACCATAGACTTACATGGTCTGCAAACCAGGTGAAGTAAAGGTAAGCCAACATAGACTGGCACGTGATCATCAACAAAAACCAGGAACCTGGAAAATAGAAGGTTTGTCATCAAATCATACTTTGGCTAATAAAGCTTTTATTTAGAAGTCTGCTTATATTGATTATAAATAAAGGGAGAATTATATTAAAAAAAGATACACCTCATGCGATTTTTTCTGGAGGGGAGCTCTGCCAGAATGCCAGGGCAGAACTGGGGCTGGTCACCTTGACTCTTAACCACCACACGAGCACCGATATACAGTTGCCCCAGCTTTGGCATGATGTCAAAGGCAATGTGGTGACCGGACACTAGGCTCTTCCCTTTCTCATCAAAAATCACCTTGTATTTCACCCTACCATCTTCTGCAAAGAAAAAAAAAAACACTTCTCATAAGCAGTGTCCAAGTTTGCTTCAACATGAGCATCTGGTTGAATCTACTGTAGCTTTCTCTCCATCTCTGCATCAGGAGGTTGTGGTACCTACATCTCCGTATATTAATATATATTTCTGGCCACATGATACCTGAACTTTTCTTTTTGTGGCACCGAAAACTTCTACAGAAGAAAAGTTAAAGTACATATTCAAATATCTACTAGCTCTCTCTTCTTATTTAAGATAATTAAAAACAGTTTGTCATTCTGTGAAAGGGCTGTACATCATGGTCCCCATCACTAAATCCCAAAGGCATCATAATTTAGAACAATTCTTACCCTTTGTTAGTATTTCCACAAGTTTCCCCCTTTGCCAGTTCATGGCCTTCTTCCTAGCCAGGACATACATGTTCACATTGATCTCTCCTGGTGGCATAGTAGGGACAACCCTGGTGGTTTCATCAGTGGACTTGGAAAGAACTGATGCTATGCACGCAGGTTTTAACCCTGTCAAGATTTTTTCAAAAATGTTAATAAACAGGCGACAAAGTGTGTGTTGACTGCATGTCATTCTTTGAGTGCGTGTTAAAGGAATACTAATACAATTTCCAGATACTCTGCACCCGTTGCATTCCTTCCACTATGTGTAAAGATGGAAGAATCTTTTGTTTAAATCACTAAAAGAGGAACTCCTTTACTGCTTTGTAGTGAAATACACTGTAGATAATGTCATATATTTTCATGCTTTTTTAAATGACAAGAATATGAATTAAATTTAAAAAATTCAGGCTCAGAAATAAAGTAACTGATACAGAAAGAAAAGATGCTTATATATGGGTGTGGTGTGTTGACTGTGGCTTTTACCATTGGTATTTCCTGGTGCTGTCAAAGTTTTTGTGCTGGCCTGGGGCACTGGTGTTTTTTCTGTACTGCTCTTGGCATCAGAATCTGCGTTGGCTTGTGGCGACGAAGTTTCTGCTGCATCGCTCGTAGCACTTGTATTAGTCCTTGTTTGAGGTGTTGCAAGATTCTTAAAAAGTTTTTCTTTCTTTGTGTCTATTTTTCTCCTCCTTTTTGACCCAGTCTTAAAACTTGACTCAGAAAAATCAGAATCGCTTGAGTCATCTTCTGGTTCCCACTGCATATCAGAATCCATACTGATTAAGGATTCGTGTTCACTGTCATCACCCACAGGTGCTAGCTGGCATAGAGCATCAATCTTGCGCTGAGGCAATCTGGTCAACACCACCACTGGTTTTCTTATTAAGCTGGCAGAGCGTTTTGTGCCATTGTCTCCATTTATTTTATCCGTGTCCTTCTGCTTTGGTAACAGAGGAGTATGGCCTTTAGTAGCTGGAGTACAACGGACATGAGTCTCAAAATCAACGGAGTCACATGAGGGTCGAGGTGTATTTCCTACAAAGGTAAAAATCCTAAGTTAAATTGTTACTTTCAAACAATCTAAAATAAGTCAGCGTGCCTCTCTGAAAATGAGCGAGCATTTATTAGTGGACACAGACACACCAACAGTACATTTACAAATGATGTGCATCATACCACAGTCAGCGATATTGTCATCATCAGAATCTGTGTCTCTGTACTCCAGTCCCAGCAGAGAGTACTGTTTCTTCACAACTGCTTCGCATGCTGCCACAGACCTGCAAGACATCAGCGTTACCAATCAGCATAATCTGTTGGCATTGGTACCTCTTGTGTAGACGTTACAATGAGTCACAGCAGACAACTGGTACTGTATTTTGGATTTAAGAAGACAAACTAGTGTGGCTCAAGGTGCACTCAACTTTCCCTCTCAACCATCAGTCAAACACTTCATAAACACTATTTTAGGAAGCATTGCAGGCTAAGTGCTGAACTTTCAGATTATGCAGAGCGGAAATCAATCAACCCCCCCTGTGCTGTAATCACTGCACAAGCAGAACCTGTTAGTACACACCTTAGCACTGCCGACTGGCTAGTTCTGATGTCCCCATGTTACCCAGCTAAGTTTTGTTCAGGAAAATAATCACAGAAAACAAAATACTATAGTCAGTGGGTGAATGCATTAAAGCCGCTCTAATCAGAAAGCCCTTATTATCATTGCACAAGGGAATACAATGAAAATAGCGGTGGCACTCAAGTGATGTACTTATAACAAATAAACACAAGACACAGGACATTCAATAATGATAAAAATGCAATGAATAAAAACATAAAACTATCACTGCACATGTAAATAATTTAAAGTGCAGCACAGTGCTCAGTGGATAGTAGCATGGCAGTAGTTAACATTATTTGATGTTACGTTTATTTAGTGTGCTGATGGCTGTGGGAAAGAAAATGTTTCTAAGTCTGGTAGTTCGTGTCTTTGCAGCTCTGTAACATCTGCCAGAAGGCAGCAGTTCACAGAGATGATGGCCAGGGTGGGAGGGGTCTTTTAGGCCATGTTGAGGTAGCGTGATGTGGTGAGTTCGTCCGGGGGGTGCAAGGGGAAGCCAATGATCTAGCTGCAGACTTAATGGCTGTTTTCAGAGCCTTTTCGAAATGCAGTATCTGAGGATGCTCTCAATGGTTGCCCTATAAAATGCCACCAGTAGCTTCCTGCACACGTTTCTCCTCCTGAGCACAATAAAGAAGTGTAGCCTCTGTTGTGCTCTTTTTACAGTCCACAGATACATGGACTTCCAGGAATTTAAGTCTGTCCCCTTTCCACGCATGCTCGATTAATGTAGAGGGCGGGCAGGTCTTTGTAACATTTCTTCCTGAAGTCCAGTATCATTTCCTTTGTCTTTGTGTTGTTTAGTGTCAAGTTATTCACTGAGCACCATTCTGACAATCTCTGTACCTCGTCCCCGTAACACCATTCATGAAATTTTTGTAAAAAAAAAAAAAAAATCCCAGAAGCAGGCACTGTGAAAGATTCAGAGAACAGAGGTGTTTGAAGCAGAGGGGAGAAAGGAAGAAAGAAAAAACTGTCCACACAGTCTGTGTGGAAGAGGAACTGCCTGGAACTCACCCCAGCTATCACATCAGTCCCTGCCCGCATAACACAGATTCTGAGTAGAAGTCCCAATACTGTGCTGCAACCATTAACAGCATTACAAAATAATAGTGAAAGGAAAGGGGGATATAAAGCTGGTTAAATAAAAGTAAGATGAATAAGAAGATTTATGTTAGAAGGCTTTTCATTAGCAGACTGTTGAATGAAAAGGAAGCGGGAGGGAATGTTCAAAGATATTTTATTTAATACTGTTCAGATTAGGGATGTTATGGATTGAAATCAAAATAAAAGGAGTGAACAGGTTGTTCTAGGAACAATATGTAAGAAAGAGAAAATAAAACATTTACTAAAAGAAAGTTTATATTAGCACTGCTGCCTCAATCAACTAAGAAATAGAATTTTACTAATGCCACAGGAAATTCTGGTACTGAAGGTGCATAAAGGTACAGCTCACAAGAATAATGAGTAAATTAGTCTCAAATAGAATGTAATAAAAGTAGATAAAATACTAAGAAGTGAAATTAATATAGGAAAATGCTATGCTATTTGCTGATAGATGTGAGTGAGCAAACTCAGCTTCTGTCTAAGTTACATACTACTACTAGCACTATATTAATGTCTAACTATTTATGTTTGTACAGCATCAATGTTAGCAAAACTGGTGTGTATGCCCAGGACTTTCATATCACAGAACAAACAACATTACATATTGACATCGCCTGTACCATAATGTTATGATCACAGAAGGCAAAGCACCTGCGGCAGACGGCCTGCTGCAGGCTCTCTCCTCTGACTGAGCTCTGCGTTGTTTTCATCCAAAATGCACTCCAGCAGAAACAAGGTGAACAAACACCAATAGCAACTCTGTTTCTCATCTAGCGGGACCCTGAGGGAGTTAAGCCTACAGTATGTAGAAATGACGGAAATTATATTTGATTTAAACACATATGCAATTAATAACAAAACAGTGATGGGGACAATTTTAGGTAATCGGACAAGTAGTAGGGGCATGTCCCTACCGCTTCTACCATAAATTACACCCACAGTTGCAACCCTACTTGCTCATTAGTCTCACTTTGTCTCTCAGTTTGAGGTTATTTCACTTTTATTTTTGTTTGGGTTTGGGTGTTTCAGTGTTGCTCTTATGTGCTAGTGATGCTCTTTCCTTTGAGTTTGCTATTTATCAGTTGTTTTGCTTTCTCATTTCCAATGGTACACAAGTCCTAAGTGAGACATGTTAATCATGGCCCAAAAGGAAATAAAGATATAAAACTCACTTGCAAAGCTTCATGAGGCAGATGGCTTGTTTTTCCCTCTTTTCCAGCAGAGACTGCAGCTGCCTGCATCTTTCCAACACATCTGGGGAGATCAGGTCACTGTTTTGTACTTCCTCTCTGATCCAATTTTGGATCTCATCTTTGCTCATTTCCATCTCATCCCCCTCCATAATCACTGCAAAACACAAGGTTTCAAATCACATAAGAACATTTTTTGTAACAATCTCTTCAGATGAAGTAAAAAAGTTATGGTCATTTGAAGCTTTTGGGGAAATTTTTAACTAGTATGCGGGTCTTGTGTTTTGTAACGAAGAAACATGTCACCCTGTACAGCGGTGCGCTTCACTGATGTGTATTTAAATGTTTCTGAACAACAATAGAGGACTATGGCACAGATTAATAAAATAAGGCAGGTTGGAGACTGACAGACATTAACCCTGAACAGAGGTAATTCAATGCTGGTTTTAGTTCCTGTATGTGGATCATTGAAAACACAATTAACATAGAAAATGACCAACATTACCCTTTAAAACTAGGCTAGATGTTGACACAGGCGTCCTCTACAAGTACACAAAGTGGAGGACTGGTGTCCCAAACTGTAGGCCAGCAGCAGATACAACTGGGTTTAAGAATGGCAAATTTGTGTTTAATCAAATTATGTAGACCGACATGATATGGAGCAAACCCGGGGCTCCCAGGCAGTTACCCACTGCGCAATCCAACTGTGTTTATCCTGTTAAAATTTGATAAAATTACAGTAGGGCACTGGTCTAGAACCAGCAGTAAAACCGAGAGGGATATCACAAAATCATGCACATCTTTAACTCAGATTGAAGGAATGCATAGATCAACTTTATCCCTTCAGACGATTATTATGAAAACGATGTCAAATTCTGCGTATAACGTTAAATAGCATCATTCTGCACAGGAAAAGATCAAACATTCAAATGAATTAACAATAAGTAAAACACGTTTTTAAAAGAAACTTTACCAGCTTGTAGTAAAACAAGACGCTAAAATTGGCTAAAGAACACGCACATTTAGCGCGAGATTGTGATTGACCGTTAGCTAAACCACTCCACGCTTTTCTTAATTGGAGACTGGGGGGAATATCCCAGCTACATTTGCCAAATCCATCGATTAGCTCTTCCGTAAAGCCTTTTCGATTGTGGAAGAAAATTTATTTTATGTTAAATGTTTTATGCTACCCCAATTCAAATCATACCTTCCGCTAGCTTCTAGCGATGTGCCTTCCAGTACTATTTTCTTTGTTTCATGCTGCTGTTCCAAATCAAGCCAAGAAGAGCTCACTACCGCCCCCCGCTGTGCCCTCCAGGGAACCACCAACACTTTCACCTTGTTGCCACTCGATAAGAAAAATACATCCCGCCCTGCACTCGGTGAAAATACTCAAATCGTTTACTTAAGCAAAAGTAGCAATACCAGTGTGTAAAAATACTGTTACAAGTAGAAGTCCTGCAAATAAAACATTTCCTTAATTTAAAAAAGTCTGTGCAGATTCTCAGTCATCCAGGTCATAGTAAGATGGAAAAAAAAACTTCAACTGGACTAGATTTCTAGGTTGACTAAATAGGGGTGGTGGACTAAGACACAACTTGTCATCCATCTACAATCCTTTTTTGAGATCTCTGCCCAAACATGCCCACCAGGACAACAGGCGTCGGTCCACAAGGGAGGATTCAGACAGGTAACGACTCTCACCGACACTGGGCTACAACGACTCAGTCATTAAGGGACATTGTTGGCCTTCAAAGGACTGAAACATTACCGAGGAGGATAAATGTCTCCGGCTCAACACCAGTCAGTCAGAACTGATGAAGCTCTTGGATGAGAGGTGAAATGTCTTCAATCTAGAAATCTAGTCCCGTTGATTTGAAGTTTTTTCAGCTTAATTTAAAGAACTAAAGTATTAGCATCACTATATACTTAGGCATTAGACAGAATAGCACATTTCACATTAATGTATTTATTTTATTTGTATTATGTATTAGCTGTACAAAGGGTTCCTTAAGGTGACAATTCTTAAAATATCAAATTATCTTCAAATTAAGTAGAATGCGATGAATACATGAAATTCCTCTGATTTTAATTTCAGTGTTGATCAGTAGTTTTTTTCTAAACTTACCTGGGTTTGCTAAATACTTTATATTTTGAACAAGCCACTAGCTAATAGAGCTTTTTATACATTTGTATGAATAGGCCACTCTTGATTTATCACAATAAAACTAATTTCCTGTGCTCCTCTGATAACTTAGAAATTTAAATACAGTGTTATTAGAGCTCTTCTGTCATGGATATACATACTAACTTTTGTCAGAGCAGTCATGTCGACTCAGCTGCCATGTTACATCTCCTAATATTTATTAAAGGTTCCTCAAACATATGGACGAGATGTTTTAAGCAGATGGAAGTTGAACAAGATTGAGAAACTAGATTTTTATACATCATTAGAAATGAGGCTGAGAACATTTGCAAAATGGCAAGCTAATATGCAATGTAGAACTTTTTTATTGACAAAATTAAACAAAACTGTTACAAAGAGAACAGGGATCACAGTTAAGTATTCAGAAAATGCCATTCATTGACTGAAGAGGGAAAATAATAGAATGAAAGAGCTAGTGACTTTTCTGGGCACAAAAATGAAAAATAAATGTTCAAACAAAAAATATCTGAATATATACCAAAATAAAATCACACAACTTAAGAATATTAAGCATCAACGGCAAATGTCCAAACATTAACGTATGTACTTCGCTTAGTATTTTAATTCCACAATGAAAATATTACCCCCCTCTGTACTCCACATGCAAGTGGCTTCATTCACAGAAAGTCATTCACATGTACTCTTTACAGCAACTCTTATTTTAGCCTAAAAGTATATGGCACATCCCTTTGGGGTAATAATGATGGGCCTTACTAAAAGTGGATTCTTTTCATTTTTCCAAATTACTGTACAACTACTGTACCACGGGCTTTTATTCGGATTCGTCCTTATTCTCTTCCGCGCTTTCAATCTGAAAACCTAGTCATGTGTTCCAGTCGTATGGAGCCACGGTGAATCCACTCCTTCCGTTGAGTTTCCTGAGGATGACATAAAAACCACGTTATATCAACACAATCAAACCCAAAAAACCAAAATGAGTATCAACAGTATAAACAGCAGCAGTGTAAAATGATACCGACCTGAAAAACGACCTGCATCAAGCTGCAGTCGACCACCTGCACCTCACACCTCTGCTGGACTCCATTCAATTCTGCATTAAAGGACTGTCCGGGCCTGTACTGGGTTAAATGTGGGTACGGCCAGTCCTTCAGATACTGTTTCATAAAACGTTTGTGAGAGCCATCTGGAACGTCCTCCAAAACATCATCCACTGTTTGGGGGGGATCACACACACACAATACACTGATCAACTCATTTCTCTACAGTGTACCTTAAAAGCACCATCTCATACTACATATCATGTAATTAACAGATGAACTGATTTGTGCTCTTAATAACACTCATGGATAGTCGAGCACAATATACTGTAGATCTTTACAGCAGTTTCTCCTTCCACTAATCATCTGCAATCACTTCTGCTTGGCTGATTTTTAATTGCTTTTAAGCTCTTGTCAATGAAAAATCACTCCCTACAAAGATGTTTCACATTAAAAGCTTCCAGCACCTCAAAGTGCATGATTTCTCCCTGGTCTACTTGACTTTTAATGTGAAACATAAGCAGGAATTAGTCAATGAAAATAGTATTTCTCTTGGAGAGGAGACATTCAGAGCAGCAGTGTGTTAAGAACGCCATGACCTATCTTTAACCTAAGCATGTTTTAAATAAAGGCCTTGGGCAGGATCTGAGAAATGGCCATATCTCACACACAGTTGGTTTCATGTTTGGGGGGAAAAAGCACTTCAACTGTGAAAACTTACATGGTCTGCATATCAGATGAAGAGAAGGTAAACCAACATAGACTGGTGTGTGATCATCAATAAAGACCAAGAACCTGGAAAATTAAAATATGTTTTACACAAAAGCATTTGAATTTCCTGTTGAATATTGTGAGGTATTAGTTTCTTCAAAAATGGTAAAATAAATAAATAAAATAAACCTGTTCTGGAAACAGTCAAGCACACCTTAAGCGGTTTTTTCTGCTGGGAAGCTCGGCCAAAATACCAGGACGGAATCGGTACTTGTTATCTTGACACTGGACCACTACCCGAGCACCGACATACAGCTGCTCCAGTTTTGGTGTGGTGTCAAAGGCGATGTGGTGTCCAGAAACTAGGCTTCTGCCCTTTTCTTCAAAGCCGACTTTGTACTTCAACCGTCCATCTTCTGCAAAGAACAAAATGTCAATGCAAGAAACTGGCAAAATCACCAATATGCAAGTATTTTCTGCTTTGTGCAAAATTTATTGCACAAGTAAAAAACATAGTTCTAACATACACTGTTGTTATCCGCATACAAAGAAACCCTCTGCAAAAGCCTCCCACTTGAGGATGACTTGTCAAAATAAAATTAAAAAACATTTTCTAAAAAAAAAGCCCTAATAATTATACATCAGAGTTTTCAATAGCTTTACTTTCTTTGTACAATTTAAAGTCAGCAGGGACCTTTTTTGAAACATTTTTATTAATGTAAAGCAGCATTTCAGTAAAAAAAAAAAAAAAAAAGTACAAGGTATTTTTTATTTGGCATGCATAGGTACTTTGGTTTTACGGTTGGTTTAACAAGTTTGTGATCAGTTCCCAGCTGATTTTTTTTCTCTATACCTCTTGTAATTATCTCCAATACTTTTCCCCGTTGCCATCTCATGGGCCTCCTCCTAGCCAGCACCATCATGTCCACTTTGATCTCTTCGACTGGCAAGCTAGGACGGGCCGGTGTGACATCTTGCGAGCAATGGGGTGCTGTTTCTGTCCCAGTGGGAAAAAAAGATACAAAATGTGCATAATCAAACCTATGTAAACTGGAAAATATGAGTGACTACGGTAATCAGTTTGTATCTGAGAGTGGTAGTGATGTTCATGTCACGTTGATGTTTGTGACCTTACCGCTGTTGCTGCTGCCGCTTGTTGAAGGTGCAGGTGTTCTCACTGTGTCACTCTTCAATGGTTTAACAGATTTCTGTTTGCTGTTTGAGAGTGAAAAATCTGAATCACTAGAGTCATCTTCTGGCTCCCACTGCAAATCCGAATCAGAGCTGCTGAGCGACTCGTCTTCACTGTAGAACTGCTGAGGCGTTGGTGGTCGCAGAGTGCTCATCTTATATTCAGGAAGTCTGGTCAAAACTACCACTGCATCTTTTATTAGACCATGAAAGTCAGGACCACCTCCCAGCTGTGAGGGAACAGACTCACAAGGGGATTCAGACATATCTTCTGCAAAAAAAAAAAACAAAATTTATAAAAATCAAAATACATATGGATAAAAAGAAATAAAGCACTGGTGTAACTTGTATCTAAAACTAACAAACCTAAAGCAAACATTGTATTCTAGCGATGCAACAATTACTCAAAAAATTGACAAAATTAATCTGCAGTTTTTATATTCAATCATTTGTCGGTTTGGCGGTTATTTATACAATGATAAGCCTATAGTAAACATGTTGTTTACTATAGGCTTGGACTGCTGGTCAGCTAAAACAAGTCATTTAAAGACAATCTGGGGCTTTGTGGAGTTTGAGTGTTTGTCCATTACTTTTAGACATTTTATAAATTAAACAATTTTAACCACTGATAAAGAAAATGATCAGCAGATTAAATAATAACGGAAATAATGTCTACCTGTAGCCCTATTGTGTTCAAAAGCCTAGAATTTCCCTTTTAATAATACAAAAGTTAATTTCTCAGATAACGTATGTGACAAGTATGGATTAAAATAATGAGTCTTAGACTTTATGACAATCAGGTGGATGTGCCAGGTTTAAGGACGGACTGCACACTGGAGCCCCACCAATATACTGGCATATCAACAAACCGACAGATATTTTCTAATGTGTGGGTAAATAGTTTTTGTTGCTTGTATGGACCTTCCTGTCATCCGCGTTTGAAAAGACAACCATGTACAGATAAAAACCTAAACTCCATAAACTCCAAATACAAGCTACTCCTTCCTTTTTTCGACTAGGTAACGCTGGCTAACGTTATGCGTTAACTGCAGACAATACTGTCGGTGCAGCAGGCCACTGTTATGATGAGGATGCTAGCAAATTCGTACTCTGTTAACAGACGGCGCCTCGCTAAGACGTTAGCTCACTTGTAATAAAAACCCAACAGAATCCTCCAGTAGCTACTTACCCATTGCTGTATCCGCTTCAAAAAAACAAAAGTGGTCACACCACAATGAAAGTGATTAATTTACGTGTCGTTGTGGTGAAGTTAACTAGTGAGTAGCGTTAGCTAACCGAGCTAGCTTTATTTCCCCACACTACTTAGCTAATCAGCTAAGTAGTGGAAATCCAGCAGATTTTAGAAGCACTAGGTTAAACCGCCCTCTGGACTTTGTATCAGAGCAGTATTATTCAGAAATTAATTCTGCTAAAAAAGTTTATTAAACAAAATTAACGTAAGCATCCACGTTAACATCCTCCATTTTAGACTTCTGTTACAATTGTTTGTGCTTTGCCCTCTTCTCCTTCTCCTCCTCCTTCTTCTTCTTCTTCTTCTTCTTCTTCTATTCTTTTACTGGCCGACATCTAACCCACGGTTTCATATCGCCACCTACTGTATCATACGTGTAGAATCACTACATTACATGTACATTGAGGAACAGAAGTATTTGAACACCCTGCGATTTTGCAAGTTCTCCCACTTAGAAATCATGGAGGGGTCTGAAATTCACATTGTAGGTGCATTCCCATTCTGAGAGACAAAATAAAAAATAAAAATCAGGAAATCACATTGTATGATTTTTAAAGAGTTTATTTGTCTTGCACTGCTGAACATAAGTATTTGAACACCTGAGAAAATCAGTGTTAATATTTGGTACAGAAACCTTTGTTTGCAATTACAGAGGTCAAACCTTTCCTGTAGTTCTTGACCAGGTTTGCACACACGGCAACAGGGATTTTGGCCCACTCCTCCACACAGATCTCCTCTAGATCTGTCAGGTTTCTCCCATCCAAAGATGTTCTATTGGATTGAGGGCTGGAGACTGGCTAGGCCACTCCAGAACCTTGATATGCTTCTTATGGAGCCACTCCTTGGTTATCCTGGCTGTGTGCTTCGGGTCATTGTCATGTTGGAAGACCCAGCCACGACCCATCTTCAATGCTCTGACTGAGGGAAGGAGGTTGTTGCTCAAAATCTCACAATAAATGGCCCCATTCATCCTCTCCTTAATACAGTGCAGACGTCCTGTCCCCTTCGCAGAAAAGCACCCCCAAAGCATGATGTTACCACCCCCATGCTTCACAGTAGGGATGGTGTTCTTGGGATGCAACTCATCCTTCTTTTTCCTCCAAACACAACGAGTGAAGTTTAGACCAAAAAGTTCTACTTTGATCTCATCTGACCACATGACTTTCTCCCATGCCTCCTCTGGATCATCCAGATGGTCTTTGGCAAACTTCAGACGGACCTGGACATGTGATGACTTGAGCAGGGAAACCTTCCAGGCAATGCATGATTTGAAACCATGACGGCGTAGTCTTCTAACGACAGTGACCTTTGAAACTGTGGTCCCAGCTCTCTTCATGTCATTGACCAGCTCCTCCCTTGTAGTTCTGGGCTGATTCCTCACCTTTCTTATCATCAGTGATACCCCACGAGGTGAGATCTTGCATGGCGCCCCAGTCCGAGGGAGACTGACAGTCGTCTTTAGCCTCTTCCATTTTCTAACAATTGCTCCAACAGTTGATCTATTTTCACCAAGCTGCTTGGCAATTGCCCCGTAGCCCTTTCCAGCCTTGTGGAGGTCCACAATTTTGTCTCTGGTGTCTTTTGACAGCTCTTTGGTCTTACCCATGGTAGTAGTTGGCGTCTGACTGACTGTGGGGTGGACAGGTGTCTTTAAAGAGCTCAGACAGGTGCTACTAATTTAGATTAATGAGTGGAGTAGAGGTGGACTTTTTCAAGGCACAGTAACAGGTCTTTGTGAGCCAGCATTCTTGCTGTTTCTCAATTCTGTCTCTCAGAGTGGGAATGTACCTACAATGTGAATTTCAGACCCCTCCATGATTTCTAAGTGGGAGAACTTGCAAAATCGCAGGGTGTTCAAATACTTCTGTTCCTCACTGTATACTGTATATCCTCTTTACTATTCCTGCCTCCATAATAAAACAAATGAATCCCTGAATCCATAAACCCAATAGTGGTTTTAGACTCCACTACTATTACACTGTATGGTCCTGTCTCACATGTTATTTCTGAGCATCTCCCCCTCTAACTTATTACAGCAAACTACAATAATACAGTAGAGCTGAACATCCTCTGGGGTGATACACCTCTGGCAAAGATTGAGGACTTTTCCCCATAAAATATAAAGCAGGAGTTCAGTGCTCTGCATGAGCAATGCAGTCCCAAAATTTCCTCTCAGGAATATCTAACATTCCTTATGTCCAAAGCTTTATATGATAGCTGCATAGATTGGTACTGTGCTGGGGAAGGATGGTTCAGTAGCAGTTGCTCCATTTGCTATGTCATGGGCAGATTATGAGACAACAGCTCACATAATAATGTAAAAGGACACTTTCATATGGCATAATTGTTAGTATTCAGCAATATTTATTATTAATATATTTAAAAAAATCAGGGCATTGCTACTTTTGACTGAGCTCTGATTATCCAAAGAAATATATCTTATCAACACTTCATACACACACTCGTTTAACCACTGGTTTGTTTGCTGCATTCAGTAATCTACGACAAGGCTGTTTAAAAGGCGCTGTGGGATCTTTTCAATCAATGTCATGTGACATCACTGCACCACACACACACCTTATGCATGAAAATATGCTACTTGTTTATACCATACAGAATTGTGCTTCACAAACCCCTGTATAAAGATCCAAGGCAGCAGTAATAGGAAAAATGTCCAAGACTCCACAGGGTTACATGAAAAACACTCATAAAACTTGATGCATGTCTTGTGCCCTGACTCATGTAGCCTATCTGAAAAACATCATATCCATTCAAACATGCATGGCCAAAAACAGGCAACACAGAGAGTGTACGAGTAAATCTGAATTTCCTAGAGTCTTGCAGAGTCATGATACTGATGGATTTCACCCTCCTCTCTTTCAGGTGATCTGCTCCTCCTGGTAGGTGGAGGTAGAGATGGACCCATAAGGATCCACCACCGTCTGGGCACATCGCAACACCGTCACCAGCAGGAAGAAACACAGGAGAAAGAGGAAGAAGAGAGCTAAGCCCAGGTCCACATCCACCTCAAGCTTTGCAGCAGGGAGATGGGGAGCCTTGTCCATGAGGCCAGTGGTGCCTGCTGGTCCTTCTTTAACTGTTTCTTCCCCTTTTCAGTTCAGCACCACCAGTTCAGAATGCAAGTGTGAGCTCCTGAGATCATGGTTATGAATTAATGCGGGAAATATGAATCAAACAAACAGAGACAGAGAAGGTTAAACCGAGCTTCTGAATGCAGGCATAGCACACAGCAATTGAAATGGCTGTAAAGTGGCCGAAGTCTTCATAAAGCACAGCATTTAACTACAAAGTCCCCTGGTTTGCTTTCTAGTGAAGAGTTTATGTTGCATGTCATACCCCCCTCTCCCTCTCCCCTCTATATGTGCATTGTCCAACTATCAAATAAAGACAAAAATGCCCCCAAAACCTTTTGAAAAGACATCCTGCTGCAATTTATTAATATACCTAAATGCAGTACAAGGTTTTATGACCAGGTGCTGTGATAGTGAAAAGGCTGTTGTTTGTGAATTTTGTTAACACTACAGATGGCGTGTTTCGGGCTGCAATTATTGTTTTTATAATCACTGAATTATCCCCTTGCTTAATATGCCAATTGTTTCCAGTTTAGCATCACAAAAAAAGTCCAACTGGTCAGGTTCTAGAAGCTTAAACCAGGAAGGTTTTGACATTTTTGCTTAGAAATAGCATTTTAATTAATCAATTTTCACTATTCAACTAAAGTGATTAATCTTTGCAGAATTGAAGAGATTATGGATTAATATGAAAGATGTTATTTCAAACTCACCATCCTTCATCAGTGGCCCAGGTGCGTGCTGCTGCAGTCTTCCCAGCACCTGTCCACAGCTTTGAAAAGCATCTCCTGCACATCGTTTGCCTCTGAGGTTCCTCATTTCTCGAGTTACGTAAGACACTCATCAGTTACCAGTCTTTACTGTCCCTGTCTGCCCATGATCAACACAGGGAAAATGAGCTCCTGCACACACAGACACGCATACACTTGTACCTTGTGATCTCCCCCTGGTGTATGAAACCTTTATTAATACTTAAGCAGGAATTGAATGACGGCATACCCTGTTCACAAGTGAATCAAACACCCCACAGCTTTTGTTCCCGTCTGGAACATCTTCATCACTGTCATTAATTAGACTTCACACCACCATAACCTAGGCTCCTCATGCAACACTGCGCTCATTCATTACGCATGACTGAAAAGGCAACAGAAGTAGGAGAAATATGTGAGAGGAGAGGCAAAGATTTAAAGAGGATGGGTAAGACTGGACATAAAAGAGGGGTGTGGACAGGAAATCCCAGACGTTGGGATAAAAGGAGCAGGAGTTGCATTACCAATTAAACTGTGGAGACAGATGCAAGCGCAGGGTGGAAATTGACCCTGCTGCTTTAAAATAAAGATTGTTACAGTGAGGCCGCCAGTGACAAGAACAGCGAGGAGGCTGAAGTGCAGTGCAGAGAGGTAAAATGATCCCACTCCATATGCAAGTAGCCAAGGAGGTCTTTTAGGCAGCAGCAAAAATACTGTCCCAGGAGAGATGCAGAGGGAGGAGGAAACAGGAACTGGTTTCTTTTAAGGCAGCCTGAGAAAAAAAGGCACTGTCTCAAACTTTCAGGCTGAAGGAAGATAAACGTTTTCCTACCTAAACCTCAATTTCAGAGTCAGAGTTCATTCCAAAAGTGTGCCAGCATGGTACTGCTCAGTGAGTCACCACTGTGCCATCTGATATTGCAATAGTTCCATGCTGCCTTCAGGGCTACTCTACACCAGAGGAATGACTGATGGATGGTGCTTATGCCAGACTGTATTTGGTCCATTTCCACAGCTACATATGGTCTCCACCACATGACAGTACCAATGTAAAGGGGCACATTTCTCCACTCCTGAATTATCATTTGGTCAGCAGCCATTTTGTTTAATTGTAATCATTATGAGCTGATAAAAACATTAAACATCGAAAACCAGGCCTTTATGTAAATCAAACTGTCATTTGAACTCAAAATGTAAAGGAAGAAACAAAAGCATGCACAGAATATTTATCCACTGTTATCTTTATCATCATCATCATCATCATTATGGATTTTTACATCTCAGCCACACTTAATGCAAAACAAAATGACTTTCTGTAGACGCAAAGCTGTAGAGGGAGCTGCAGGTGATTGGTCAGGGAGGCACAGAGTGCATGGGGTGTTGGGGCACAGAGAAATAAAGACTTTTTTTTGTTACAATTAACACTCGATATGGTGAAGGCATTTGCAGATGACAAAGTCAAAATGTAAACCATACTTTGATGTTTCAATTTTTATCCCTTTACTTAAGATTTTATTAAACTGTTCTTTTTCTTACAAAATGAACCAAAATTGATAAAAAGGAAGATGTTGGGTAGATAATTAAAATAAGTATTTAACAAAAATCTTACTCTAAACCTATTAATTTGAATCTAAACATAGCAAAGGATAAGGATAAGGATAATCACCATCATCAAAGCAAATAAAAGTTTGGTTTTCAGATATTTAGCCAAAGCTGATCTACAGAAGAAACCATAAGGTGCATCTTTGGAAGGATTAGGGAAAAACCACACTGGACGGAAATCCTATCAACTCTCATAAACAGTTATTGATCGGTTTGGGTTGCACTCAAACAAACTGCCTCTAAATTTAAATGTTTAACTGGACTGAAAAGTGAAGATAAAGAAAAATAAAATCAAACTAAAAGATACTGAGCATAAACAAAAACATTTAAAATGGTCTCCGCACGTTCTGCCTCCCACAAGGCCTTCAAAGCATTGCAAGACAAATGTCCACAATGGCACATTTCAACATGTGGCAGGTGTAGCACCTTCTTGTAGTTTTAAATGTTAAAAAAAATAATAATTTAATCACCAGTGATTTTGTCTTCAACATCACTGGAAGAAATATAAGTAACTCTTGCTCCAAACCATTGGACCGAAGTGACAAAATGACAGCTACAAAACTATCTTGCACAAATTCAACTGATGCTTTGGGCTTCAGTAAATATACTTTAATCAGATTATGGTCTGTAGGAAACCATGGCCTCATTCACCTTAGTGCTCCTCACAGTGCCACTGATCTCAGTGTGGTCATTTAGAGCAAAAATCAGTCACGTTTAAGGGCAATAATACTCGAAGAGTGTTATCTGATTGTGTAGGAAGGGGATACCATCCTAATAACAGCTGTGTGAAGCTGTTGTAAAGCTGCATGCAGATTTGGCAACTTGGTCAACAGCACAAAGTCTGAGAAAAAGAGCAAAAGACACTGCAGGGGAGAGAAAAGAGCAGGTGTGTGTAATGAGGAAACCACTCTGCTGCTTCGATGCTAAGCAGATCATCGCGGTTCTCCAGTGCAGTCTTCCCCTCTCCATTTAATTCAGTGTAATCCACAGAGGGCTGATGTGATCCACAACGGACTACTGGGGTTTCGGAAAGAAGGGTATATAGATATGGGTGTGTGTGTGTGTGTGTTGCCTACTGCACCATTCAACTCGCCACACTTCCATTCTTTGGCTTTCAGCTAAGGGAGACACGTGAAGGCCCGTTGTCACTCCCCACACAGCCTCCTCTCTAGTTCTCACTGTCCAATCAGTCCTCCTTCCAGTGGTCACCGCCGAGGGGCGCGTGGCCATTCATAGACTTTTCCCTCTGCTCGTGATCGTGATCGTCATCTTCCGACTCAGACTCCTCTTTATCGCTCCGCTCATCCTCAACAATGTTCTGTCATGTAAAAAAGACGACATAAAATGTTTAATGTGACTGTCTTACACATTAGGAGAAAAACAACATTAAGAAGTCATTCATACATTTCCTGGCAGGAATTTGATGACAATGTGCACGATTAGCGCAGCCCAGAAGATGTGTAGAGCCTGCAGCACAAACAGCAGCCCGTTGAATAAGTAGTAGATGAAGAAGGGTGGGTAGACGGTCAGGGGGTACACCACTGTTGTATGTATGATCCTAGACAACAGGACAAAGGCAGAACAGAGAGTCCAGTCTGAGTCACCTACAGTCACCATCAAAAGCCATTTGAGAGGGGCCTAAAGTGTGGACAATGTGCCTGTTTGTTGTGGTGCCAGTAAAATGTTGCAAAATGTTTGAGAAAATGTACAAAATTTTGGCAAAAAAGTGAAACAATGTATACATCATTCAACAGCCTTTATGCTAATAGATTCAAGGAGGACATGACCATACTGCACAATTAAATGAAGCACCAGGAACTTTGTGATGCATCATGGTATTTTATTGCTGCTCAGCATGTTGTTTCTTAATAACTGAAATAGAACCCAGCCGTTATAAAGAGGTAACAGAGAAGCAGGACCCTTATGTGGACCTTATGGGACCCGAACACCCCCACACTATCATTTGTATTTTTTTTTTTTTTGTGACTCACACAGTACAGTGACATCAGTCTACAGCAGTAGAAGCAGGAACAGCACTGTTAAAGGATAAGCTGTAAATTATTTTATATTTTTCCAAAGCCTAGTTGTTCTTAGTGAACACAGATCTTTAAATAAAAAAATAAAAAAAAATTGGTCACAAATATATTGTTTATTTTTTTAAAAGGCTAAATAACATGTTAACACTGCTAGGAATTAGTTTATAGCAAATGTTACTCAGATTAGTATATAGTGTATTTGTTTCATGCATTTGTTTTATTTTCAGCTGCAGATTAGCACACATCTGAAGTGACAGTGAGGATGGTGTACCTCGGCTGACTCAAATTACTGAGGTGTTCCTATTTGTTACCAGGGTCAAGAAACAACAATTGAGACAACATAGAAATAAACTGTTAATTTATCAAACTTAAGCTTTAAAGTTTGTGTGAAAAATGTTTTTGTCAGCCTTCACTGCATCTTCTGCATTTAAAATGGCACAAACATGTCAAAATTTGGCATTTCCACATACGTACATTTTTAAGCACCAATAAAAAAAAAAGGTGCAAAAAAGGCAAAATTTCAAATTTCTGTGAAATTACAGCTGCTAGGAAATCCAACTATACATTAACCTAATATCTGTAAAGCCAGCAAAAAAAGCATCACTTCTTTCTCAGTTAGTAATGCAAGTGTGATGTAAGATTGGTTTTACCAGAAGGGGAGGAAAACGAGGCGGGTGATGATGAAAACTGCTGCAAACACCGTGAAGATACAGTTGCAGGTTCTCTTCCATCCTGCATAGCTGAATATCTTGGCTAACTGGAATATGATAGAGAGAGAGAGAGAGAGAGAGAGAGAGAGAGAGTTCAGTGTCACATTTTCATGTATCGCCCTCTAGAGGGCAGACAGTGACCTGTATGAGGAGGAAGGTGCTTTGACCTTATAGGATAAGGCTGATGATTTTCTGTTTGCTTTGCCTTGCTAGCTTGTTCCGCTACATATCACTAATGTAGAAGATATGAAGCCCGTGATGACACCAGCAACTAAAAACTGCAATGGAAGCCAGTGCTCTAGAGGTTTTAAATGATATGCTACATAGTGCTGAATATACAGGTTTCATATATCTGTAGTAGGTGCATGACAAAAAAACTATTAACTCGGAAACTATATTTTTTTTTTTTCTGGCATGGTAGCATGTTGTCGTACCTCCATTAGGTAGTCTGAGGCATCATGAAGTAACATAACCAAAGTCCCTGCTCGGGTGTAGTTGACCAGCCAAGAGAAACTGAGGAGGACAATGGTGGCTACGTGATGAACCATCTGCTCTTTGAAATCCTGCAGAGGAAAAAAATATATACAGAGACAAAGAGATGGTGTAAAAATTAGCATCCAACAGTGTTTGGTCACTTATTGATCAAGCTGCAAAGACTGGTCACTAATTAACAGTGCGTGTCCGATTGTCTTACAAATGATTAACCAAATATACGGCTTTCCAACTATGAAAAGAAACTAGAGTCACACATTGCAAAACAAATCCCCCAACTGGAGGTGAGTTTCAAGATGGTGGTTCTCAGGAAAAAAAATGTGGAAATCTGGTGTTCTGTTTTGGTTTAAAAGATTACCTCCTTGGTTTTGTGAACTGGAGTTAGAAAACAAGTGCTGGCACTGAGGCCTTGCAATTTTCTGACAGGCTTGAAGGTCTGCCACCTTTAGACCTGTGGACAAAATGGTCAAAGTGTCTCTCTATATACACAGAGCTCGGGTCACACATTAACTGAGAAAGACAGCTTAGCTCGCTCACTGCGTCTTTACTAGGTAGAGTCTGCTCTGGCCTTTCTTGTACAGCACATCAGTGTTGTTTGACCAGTCCAGTTTATTGTTGAGATAAACACCCAGGTACTTCTAAGAGTCCAGTGTCTCAATGTCCATTCTCTGGATGTTCACTGGTGTGTCTGCACCTGTAGAAAACCACCACCGGGCTCTGTGACCCTCCCCGCATTGATCTGGAGGCAGTTCCAGACACCAGTACACAAAGTCCTGGATCAGTTCTCTGTACTTTCTGTCATGCTTATCTGTGATGAGGCCGACGATCGCGGAGTCAAGAGAACTTTTGCAGGTGACAGTTCAGTGAGTTACACATGAAGTCTGTAGTGTACAGGGTGAAGGGAAATGGTGCCAGGACGGTTCCCTGCGGGGCCCCTGTGTTGCAGACTACCATGTCAGACACACACATACTGTGGTCGGTTGGTGAGGTGGTCCAGAACCCAGTTAAAAAAATGGAGGTCCAACCCTTTGTGCTCCAACTTGTCCCTCAGAAATCACTGCAGAAGTCAAAGAACATTGTTCTCACAGTGCTCCCAGGCTTCTCCAGATGAGAGAGGGCTTCTTGTAGCCAGAGATGGCTTTAAGGCCTTTCTAGAGTCTGCTGATTTTGCAGCTGTCCCCCTGTTCTCCTCCTGTAGCCGTCTTTCCCCTCTCTGAACTTCCTTCTCAGCCCCCTCTGCACACCTCCTTGTTTTCTTATCTAAAAACCCTGCTTTTCTCCTTCAAGAGAGCCTTTATATCTGGGTCGATCCAGGGTTTGTTGCTGGAGAAACACCAAACAGTTCTGGTGGGTACAGTGTTCTCCACACAGAAGTTAACATAGTCCATTATGCAGTGTGTGAGACTGTCGGTGTCCTCTCCATAAGGACAGTTCCCTGTGTACAAACCCCTTGTACACAGCAAACCAAAGTGGAAGAAATGAGTGGAACTGAACCTTATCTTTAATGGCACTGCGAATGCTGACAGCTCTACTCAATACAATGAAGGACAGCAGGACTTCTTAATGGAAAAGTCAATATCCAAACCTCAAAACACACTAGCAACGCAACAAATCATTCTCACTGTTTTATGCACTCGGCGATTGATCTCACTTGATAGAAGGGTGCTGAAAGGTTTTATAGTACAGAGAGCTAACAAAGGTTAAGAAGCATCGCCGTATCACTTACCTTACGTTTGACATCTGATGCTACGCTAAAAACCAGCGAGATATAGAAACCTAGTTCGACCATGTAGTACCAGTACTGTGAAGGCATCAGTGGCTGGGAAGGAAGAGAAAAATCAGAAGGGCATGTCACCAATAATTTTACAGACCAATCAATTCAGTAACTTAATACACCAATTAAAGGAAGGAAAAGCCAGTTTTGGCACATGCTGTGATAAACTGAAGGCCACGTTTCAGGTTTTGACATACCATTTTTGGGAAGCCATCCCACATCTGCTTCATTTCATAAAGCCATGGTTTCTAAGGAGAGAGACAGTCAGTGTTAATGATGTGCAACACAACAGCAGAAGAGCTTTTGTGTACAAACATAAAGCAAGAACACAGGGAAATGATGTTAGTGTGTAGCATCCAACAGTGTGCCCACTGCGTTTACAATGTTTAAATCCAGTTTGCGAAATTTCTGTACGTCACATTTACAAAACAGATCCACTCTTATTTTACTGAAGAAGAAACAATTGGCCGACAAGATTGCTAGTGGAAGACCAAAGTTGTTTGCTGCAAAATTACACAGACCGGATTCTGAAAGAGTACTCACATCAATAAGGACTGCCAGGCCAGCATAGAAAGCAAGAAAGTAAAAGGTAAATCTCCAGCTGTTAAGAGAACGCACAGCAACGTCAGAAATTTCATAATAAATACACACACACAAGATAGCTGCCCCCGTATTCGCAACATTTTGGTTCCACTTTTGGTTAGAGGCAGGAAGTGGTGAAGCACCGTCCATCTTTTTTATACAGGTTGGCTTCCAACTGAATTTCCAATCTAAACAAGTTATGATAAAAACTGAAATTTTACAATGCAAGGGAAAAACCATCTTTCACATGTACTTCATGATTCAAAGGCAGTTCAGTATCAAGGACAGAAAGTGGTTTGGTGCGTTTACCTACCTTGCTTCCTGTAATTTCTTGAGCTTGCTGGGCCGGTCCTGGTTTCGCCGTCTCCTAAACCACCTCTGGACCCGTTGCACTGACCAGTCCGTCTGTTTACTTAGGCTCTCTATGGAGCTCTGACAACAAAAGCGGGGAAAGGAAAGAGATGACACAGTCAGTGCCATCTTTAATGCAATTTTGCAAATTTCATGCAATATTTCTATCATGCTAGTGAACTGAAACAAAAAAACTAAATCTCCTACTTCTATAATTAGACCTTCTTGCCAAATGACACCCATTATGTATGAAGCAGTGCTAGTTTCCTCAAGTAAGCAGGATTACCTGCGTGGGATGCTTTGATGTTTTGCAAAAATAGGACTCCAGGGTAGGATTTGGATGTGCACATACACGTTTCTTGTCACTCACTCCCAGCAGAGAGGCCTGAGGAATCGCTACCATCCTAGAGAGAGGATGAGAAAGATCTTGCACATTGTGTCATATTCATCAGAAAGAAACATGTAAATCAGTCAGGTAGAGTGGTAGATCAGCAGGCAAATGGCAGATGACTTGCCTTTCAAATATCGGTCTGATGATTAGGAAGCAGAGAGCGATGGGGAGAGCAGCCCAGAGGTCCTGTGCTTTAGGGAAGACAAGGCCATCGTGGTCCTTCAGATCAGCCCAGCCGTGACCTTCAGGAAACCAAATCCAGTCCGCCCATATCATCTCTCTCAGCTCTGACAGCATCCTAAAGACCAAACACAGGAGAGAAAAGGATTTGTGCCTTTTTTTTGTACCTTGCAGAAGAAACTGCGGTATTCAAAAGGTTTTGTCTGCTGGGTAATATCCATTCAGATTTTCTATTAGATAAATACAGCAGCTCACTGAGCCGTGACAACATCCTGAGAGGAAGGAGAACAAAACCAAGAGTGCTGAGAGAAATGAGTATTGATTGGAGTTGATTGATCTCACTGGCATCAGGGACCCTATTTGGGCACTTCCTGTGCCAGATGAAGGAGAATAATGGAGTATTTTGTTTAGCTGGACACTGGGTAATCAGAAAACCTGTGGGAACTCATCCACAGCACTAAAGACAACTTCAGTTTGGCAGTATTTCTTGGAAAACTACCTATTTCTGCAGCTGGACGACACATTTACTGACACTGAACAGTGACAGAAAAGCCTAATTTCAAGATTAACAAAACATTGGAGAATAAATGTTTATATACCCAATAGCACCCCGAATCATGATTCCTGATATTCAAATCAGAGATGTACTTTGGTCCATACATCAGTGAGTGCTTTATGAACCAGTAGCAGTATTTTATAATAAGCTCTCTGACACACAGGAAGCCAGTATGAAGATCTGAGATGTGGAGGGATGTGATCCAGAGATCTGTGAAGACTCCAACACAGTAGCAGAGCCAACCAGGGGAAAAAAGATTAGATGTTTCTCTACTTGTCTTTTAATGCTTGACGTACTTTTAACCATGCTAGCAGTGTCTCAGGACGGCAGTGTTGGTCCAGATTGGTGCATCTCCGCAGCTAGAGGAAGAACGGCCATGAGATTTTGAAGCAACATTACCGGATGATGAATATTGGTGGTCCCCTGGCTTTCCTTCAGAGACAGTTTTGTTTGTATTGAGATATCTCCACATATATTTGATAATTACCCTAAATTTTGTACAGAAATCGCCAACTGCATTCACTTCAGTTCAGCAGTCAAGCAAACAGTGCCACTGTAATTACGGGCAACTCCTTAGTGGAAATTTTAGACACCTGTGAACTAAATACAATATCAGTTCCACTGATGTGGAGTCTGATCATCATGTTACTGCTGTGCCATTGTTGATGCAGCCAAAGCTTTGAGCGTCTTTCTAAGGCAGATCATTTAAGAGGGAGATTTAACTCGTCATACATCTCCAGATACTTTTACAGGGACTGTATGTGTGAACGTTAATTCACTATAAGCTTAATATGAATGATATTGTCATATATGATGTGAATGCACAGTAACTTGAAACAGGTCTTACTTTCAGCTGCCGTTAGCAGCTGAAACAACAGCAGTGAAAGATCAACTCTCCTATTATATCTTTTAAGGAGGATAATCACCTTTATGTGGCCAAGTATGTTACACACGAGGAATTTGTTTCCAGTACAGAACCGAGGCAGCCATCTGTGGCACCAACTCAACTTGGGGGGTTCAGTGTCTTGCCCAAGAACACTTCGACACGAGGACTGCAGGCACCGAGATTCGAACCTCCGACCCTCCGACTGGGAGACGACTGCTCTAGCCACCAAACCAGTCACCGTCAAAGTCGATCAGTGTGTGGACTTCAGTTATGCTGCCGTTTGTCACCTCTCAAATCACAACTCTTGTTAGCACACCATACAACTGTCACTGAATAAGCATGTCTAACATCCTTTCAGAGTGTCTACAGCTCATTTTTAATCTTTAAAAAACTTCAAACAGAGACCAGGCTCTCTGTGGACTGTAGTAAGACATGTCAATGAGCACAGGTATGTATACCCAGTCCTGGAGGGAATTATGGGCGATTACACTGGAGGTTTTTGTGTCGGACAGCAGGGAACTGGAAACCAACCTTTGTGCTGCATCAGCCCTCAGGTGTGTGTCCCACTTCTTCAGTGCAAATCAGACATTCTACTTGTAGCTGATCTAAACAAAACAACTTGCTCTAATCGCACGGACCAGCAACCTAAGAGCTGAACTCCCAAACTGGCAACATTACGAACAATCAGAGGTGTGCCTCCTGCTGGTATACGAGTTGCTCGTGGCTTAAATGACTACAGGAGATCAATACTTGCTAGGCACCCGCAGTTTTGGCAAGTGCAACTGCTGCAAGCTAAAGTAAATTTTGGTTAATGTTGGCCGACCATCCAGAGACCAGAAGACTTGTGCACACATTGAAACATTTAGATAACAAAAAGCCCATTCAGCTACTTCTCATTGAGCTACTGTTTACACATTTCCAATTTCATAAGTTTTTTTGGAAAGACCAAAGTGAAACACGCCACTTCAGCACCAGTTGCTTATTGTCCAGGAACAGGATTGTTGTTTTTGGACCAGGAACCAAAAGCTGTGACTGCACCTTCATTTTAAATTTTAACTCACATTTCAATCCACAAAGCTGGGGAATATTAAGTATTGTAATACAGAAACAGATGTGCTCGTGTGGTCTGTCCTTTTCCCACCTCAAAGTTAAAATATTATAATTTGTTATTTCCATGTGCATTGCTTCTACAGCACAACATTCCTGCATGTCTGTCTGTCCTAGAAAAGGGATCCCTGCTTTGTTGCTTTTTGTGAGATTTGCCCTTTTTGACTCAGGTAAAGGGATAATCCAGCACTTCAGCACTGCTTTCCATTTGTGAGTTGGAGGACTCACAAAAAGACATAAAAAAAGGTCAAATTCTGTGCACAAGAAGCGGAGATCTCCTGACTTTAAGCCTAACATAGATAAAGCTCCAAAAAACTCCAGATCCAACAATTCCCATAATGCAAAAGCATCTTTAAATAGCCTTCTCCTGCCTCCTAAATGCCTGCTTCTTAAGAACTCTAAGGTCGGCTTCCTGTTAAAGGTATCGCGTGTGGTTGTCGACCACTAGCACACAGTACTCCCCTTCGACGGGAGCTTTTGTGGAGCCTTCTTCTTAATCCTAATCTTGAAGGGTGGCGCCTGTCACACACTGTACAAACTGTAAAGTCCTTGGAGGCAAATTTGTAATGTTTAAGCATGTAATTAAAGCAAACTACACCTGGCTACATGACACAAAAGAATGGCAAACAGCCAACGTTTATTTCATTAATGAAGCCAGAGTCCACTACATAATTTCATCCACTGTCATCAATCACTGGAAGAAGTATGAGAACTGTCTACTTAACTTAAGTAAAAGGAGCATTATCACAATGTTAAAATGTTCCAAGTCCTGTATTTAAAATAATACTTAAGTACCAAAAGTAAAAGTATTGTCTATGCAGAATGGCACATTTCACATACATTCACATACCACGTTATTGAAGCATTACTGTTTTCATCACTGTTGCAGCTGGTAAAGGTGGAGCTAAGGGGAACTACATTATAGGCTTATAATTTGAATTACTGTTGAATAGCTTGTGAATTTATCACTGAGGATCAATAAAGTCTTATGATTATACTCTATTCTGTTTTATTGGTTTGGTTCTGAAAAGTAAACAAAGTTATACAAAATGAATGTAGTGGAGATAAAAGTAAAATATTTGCGCCTGAAATGTAGTGAAGTCAAATTTTGAAGCAGCAGAAAATGAAAATACTCAAAGTACTGATACCTCAAAACTGTACTTAAGTCCTGTGATCGAGTTTATGTACTTTACATATCTACGGTCAATATTTACATAAGGGAAGGTTGTCAGTCACATCTGCCTACGCTGTTTGCGTAAACTCGTGCAGGAAGTGTCTGAGCGCGCACACATGGCGCAAGCTGGGAGTCTCCCGGACATAGCGGAACACACCCGGCGCCGGTGTGAGATGGATCTTTGATGGGAGTTTATGCAACACCAAATTATTTACCGTTTACACAGTTACACATGGCTACGCAGTCTGAAGCAGCCATGTATAAAGGCACGCCACTTTATTTGGCGACATCTCCAACTTACACTACGTTAGAAAACTTTTGGCGCATACGTGAATTGCACCATAAGCGGCATAAAGGGCAGTTTTATCTTCTTCAAACTACATGTATATTTACTCCACTGCGGTAACGAGTCTCTATTGATTAGACCTGAATGCGTTCACAATTAGCTCTTATCGCGGTGTACCTAAACAAACACCACCCACATAAGGACGAGCTAAGGCCTGTTAGCTAGCCGAACTTTGCCGTGTGACTCCTTTATAACGTTTGAATCCGGGAAGGCTTCGGATAAAGGATGTCAGCTCGGTTTAATTGGGATCCCCCGGTTGAAACTTGACACAAATCCTCCAGGGAGGAGGACTCGCCCATTTCTACCTAAACATAGCGGCCCGAGGAGAAGTCTATGGCTCGTGATCCGGTAGGGGCACGCAACGATGGTTTTAAGGATTACTGACAAGAAAGCACGTAACGATACAGCCGACTCACCTCTCTTCGCTGTATGCAGGCGGCCAGTGTAGTCGTACAACGTATGACTGCTGTTCTTCCTCTGTTCCTTTGTAGCTGGGGCGGTTTCACGTAGTTCTTGCCATTGAACACACTCTAACTTGTTGAACGTTCAACGAGCTGCAGTACAACTGTTTCTTTGCCTTTAAATCTCAGGTTCGTCTCATTCTCAGGGGGGGAAACTATGTCGCACTTTCTCCCTAAAACTCTCCCTTGTGGTCGTGATTTCAGGCTGGAACAAAATGAAAATAAATGTGGTTTGGATTTTGCTTTTCGGTCCTGTCAAACTATTCTGAATGGGTACGGTTTATTGCCTTTCATCCGGGTAGTTCCATTGGTTAGATATGATAGTCTGTTAGAAGGGGGGCGGGGAGCAGGCTGTGACTTGACACTCCGCTGGATATGACGGGCGGTTAGTGCCATATATGGAGGATTTTCTACGCTGGTGGAAGAAGTATCAAATCAACATTTATTTGTATAGCGCCTTACAACAATCAACAGAGTGACTAAAGTGTTTCACAATCAGTGACAATAAAAACTGAAAATACAAGAAAGAAACTACACACAGAGAAACTACAGAAACCCACAACAACAGAACGTAATCTGAGTGTCAATAAACTACAAGAGCAGAGGGCTAATTTAAAGAGATATGGTTTTAATTCTGATTTATAGGAGACCACATCTGATATTGAGCACAATGCAAGGCCGCAAACTGTTCCATAACTAGGGAGCAGCAACTGCAAAGGCTCAGTGCTCCCACCTTTTATATCTGGTCCTCAGGACCTCCAATAAACCCAGATCAGCTGATCTGAGAGCTCTAGCAAAACTATGGGTGCTTAAAATCTTTGTAAGATAGGGAGGAGTGAGACCATTTAGTGCCTTAAAAACAAAGATCAACGCTTTAAAATCAGTCCTAACACAGAGAGCTGACGAAGGGAACATAGAACAGGAGTAATATGTTCACCCTTAGAGGTATGCATCAAAAGGTCAGCAGTTGCATCTTGCACCACCTACATACAGCACATTACAATAATCAAGCCTGGAGCTAATAAAGGCATAAATCACTCTCTCAAGGTCAGTTTTGTTAAGAAAAGGCCTCACCTTTGCAAGTAAACAAAGCTGGAAAAAAGATAGCTTTTACCACTGCGCTAATCTGCTTATCCAACTTCCGATCATTATCAAAAAACACACCTAAATTCTTTACCATAGATTGACAAGGCCTAGAAAAGGTCCTAGTAACCAGATCGAAGCCCCGCATGCTAGCAGAATTTCCAAACAATATGTGCTCAGTTTTTCTTTCATTTAGACACAAAAGATAATTTTATTTTATTTAAGCAGTCAAAGAATGACTGCAATGATTGACCCCCTAGTGACCCCACAGGTAAGTAAATCTGATTGTCATCTGCATAACAATGATAGGAAAGGTTATATTTCTCAAGGATAGAACCCAGTGGGAGCATATAAAGTAAAAATAAGACCAGACCAAGAATTAATCCCTGGGGCACACCACACAGCAGTGGAGCTCAGGGGGAAGAGCTGCCACCAATAATTACTGAGAAACTCCTGCTGTCTAAATAAGAGTTAAACCAATTTAAGACTGAGCCTTGAAGATCTACAGTCTTATTAACAAGATGAGAGATCAGATTAGCATGGTCCACAGTATCAAAGGCTGCAGGCATCAAATCATAAATTTGATTATATTTAGGAAATTCAATTAAGATGGTCAGTGAAAACAATAAAAACCATTTCTTGGTACTTTTTTCACTTAAATAAAGGTCCAAGGGAATTAACAAATCACAGGTTTTGGTTTTTATTGTATTTTGGAAAATGTCTCAAGTTTGTAATTTCATGATTTGATGTAGGCCTTTGTTATTTTATGGTGCTATATTAATTATTTGATATGGTCATTAGTTATTTTATTATTTGTGTGCCTGACCTGTCAATCAAACCTGCCAGCCAAAGCCTACACCTAGACCTGTTCCTACTGAGCATGAGCCTGGGAAGGGAAATATAAGGGAAATTCATTAACATATTTAAGAAGCCTTAAAGATAAACCTGCAGTGTGATGAACTGCTTAATAACTTGCTTGCTCATAAAATAAAACATGTCTGTCACACTGTAGGCTTCTTCACCTTCCTCTTTTCACTTAACCACTTGCCTTTTCCCATTGTTGTGTAGTTCTGTTTCATGTCTTTTTGTTACACACCTCAAGTTGGACACTTTTCATTTAGATAACTGACACTATTTACTTTCTTTACCCTGTCATAGTTATACATTGGCTAATATAAGTTATAAAAGTAAATTCTAAAGCTAAGACATTAGCAGCTGCTTGCCTCAATTTACAGCAGCTCATCCTATGCTCATGTGACATTAATTACCTCTCATAGTTCCAGGCATGCCAGAGGCACAGGCATGTGTGGACTCATCAGACCAAACCCAAAATTGTGGAAGGCAAGCTTCCTGCACACCCCAGCTGTGGTTACACACGCCTCAGCTTTTTACATCATCTTCATATCCGAGCTAGCTATTCATGCTTGTAGAGTCACCAATAAAGTGCGGTGCTGAAGTGATTACCACCAACCTAACAGAATATGTCCAGTTATAACGGATATGATCTGCTGGCTTGTAATGATACTCAATTTTTATCCAAAATATTCGTGTATTTTCATTCATATATGTTTTCTTCATTTTGTTCCCTAAATTCAAATGCACCCAGGACTCAAAGCCAGATGTTTTCCATTCTCTTTTCTCAGTTCTTCCTCAGGCCTACAGAGAGCACCAAACTCGCCTTGTTGGCTCTTTTGTGATCAAACACACAAAGTCTGACACAACCATTGTCTATTTTGTCATCTGTTTGAACAAATGAAACAAAAGATGTCACTTTGATTTCAATTTGTTTTGTCACACTGAATAAAAGACAAAATTATTATGTAAATGACATGAAATAAAGCAGTGATTTTTTTCTAAAGTGTACTTTATTTTCTTTTAAAGACATTTTAAAACAGCAATTGTAGAGAATAAATAAAGAAACATTATGTATTTTTTTTTTACTTCCATAGGTACATTTATGTAATTAAAAACTCTATAATAAGTGTGTTCATTGTCTTGAAGACTGCAGGAATCCTCATTTTTCTTCTTAATAAAAAAAAAAAGTCACATCTCCCCCCTCATCAAATTGATTACCAAATAAATTAAACGTAAAAAATCAAGATATAAAAATTCCCAGCCCTTCCTTCCACTTTAATTTGAAAAGTAGTGGCAGCAGAGAATCTTAACTCGTGTTTTTAAGTCCTTTTGACCCCATATTTAAACCAAGGTATGTACAGTGAAAGGAAATCCATTTCTCTTCCAGCCTAATTACCCCATGATTTTAGTTTTCATATAAATAATAAAACTAACTCTACATAACAATATTACCAATGGTAATCATACGGAATAGTATTTTCTTTTGCCTCCAACTGTGTAGACTGGCCTTCTGTTAACGCCATAGACCACAAATCACACTATACAGTAGAACCCTGTTCAGTAGAATAACATCGGTGATATGCTTTTTCTTCACATGTACATCTTGTTGCCAACAATAGAGTATGTACATAATATAAATGAATCCAGCTGTGGAACGATACAGTAGGAACTCCGGAGCACTTCTGATGTTGTGGATGCTGATATTTGTAGCTGATATTACTGCTGCTGTTTTTTTTTTTTGTTTTTTGTTTTTTGTTTGTTTGTTTGTTTTTGTAAGCACATACACGTGATACTGCTTTTTGTGAAGTGTTGCTCCTGTGCTATACAGTTGGTCAAACAACCAGAAAAGGCTGGGACATCCCAAGTGGTTTTCTTGATTGAACTCTTAGGTTTTCCTGGAGGTAAAGAAGAAGAAGAGAGAAAGACAAAAAGAGCACAGAGCAGTTTAGGCAAATCACAGAAATAAAACATAATTCTAACACTTTGGAAGTGGAATGTGGAGTCTGCAATACACATTGCTTGCACTGATGCCTCGGGGGGAGTCTCAGTAATCAACTAGTGTGCATGCAACTCAAATAGTGACAGTCATACTGCTGCAGGTGTATGCACGTTCTTAGAAAATAGTTTGTCATCTTGTTTGGCAGGCAAATTAATTCTGAACATGCACAGTAGGAATTCTGGTGGGAGATTAACTGTCCAAATTTTAGAAACAATTGGAGATTATTTTACATTTATTCTAATAATATTCACTACCACCCAATTGACCACACCGTAGGCTCTCAAGAAGGTTCAAATCATCCACCAGATAGCTGATTTGTGATGTTGCAAGCAGGGTATCTGCAGGTACCAGACACATCTATTTAACATGTTTTAAGACCTTTTTATAGTCAGTTTTAGCTGAAGTTAAAACCTAGTGAATGTGTATCCTCTGTACCTTATAAACACTGATGATCTTTAAAACCCCTCAAAAAGCAGCCAATACTCTCAAACGTTGTTCACACCTGCTTTATTTTATAAATAATAGTTTCAATTCAACTTGCAAATAGAGGCGCAAGAAAAAGTAATGGCACTGTGCAATTTCTCGGTTTTCTGCATAAATTGGTCATGACATGTGATGTGATGTTCACCAAAGTCACAAATATCAACCAATGCTATTTCTAAGCTGATCCCCC